ATTCGGAGTTAGGAGTTCGATCTATATTATATTTAATCTGCTCTAAGCCGATGGTCCAGTCGAGCTTTATTAAGAACGTGGAGAATCAGTCCTATTGATTGGAGGGTTTCGTAGATTTAACACAGAACGTCAACGGGAATTAAGATTCAGTTCTTTGTAAGGTGGTGAACACTATTGTTATATACATTGAGGGTTTAATATACTTTTGCTTTTTGGTAAGTTATGTTTTGTCATCCTTCTTAAAGTTAATTAATTAACATGCATCTAATAGGGTGAAATCTGCTGCTTAATAGAAATACTTTATAGAATATTATAAATACTTTCCAAAATAAAGGTGAAAATAGTGAATAAAATAAAACTACACAGATTTGATTTTGCATGTTGTTTCCTGATCCCCCCCAAAAAAATATGTATTAATTTATTATTTTGAAATTTCATAAAAAATTTAGTAGTATTAACATGGTTTAAACTTGTGATATTTTTAAAAAAAAATTTATCTTAAATTCTTTGATATCTAAACTTGTGTAAATAACCTTAAAAAGTCACAGGGATACATATATATTCTTCATAAATTGAAAAGATTAGATGATGGTTTTATAGACATAGAAGTTTAAAGTTGAAGAAACATAGAAACTGTCCAAACATTACATTACATGGCATTTGTTTTGGTCTGATTCTAGGTGACCTTGAATTTTATTTGTTGTCCAGTGTATTTAGCCTAATTCCAGTGCTTATTTTCACATAAAAAGAGACATGGTTTTGAGGTATATAAATATTGGCATAACTGGCTTTGTTAATGAAAAATGAAATGAGTTTAAATGGTTTCAAAGGAAGTTAAAAATTCTGTGGTTAATACAGAGATTAAATGAGTTGTGTTAAAGTTATATTTAGTTCTTTTATTTTGTGCACTTTCATTGAAGTGGAAAATGTAAGCAGATAAATGCATGCATAATGTGACTCCCCCCCTCCCCCCAAAAAATATTAAAAAGAGAGAGAAAGGAAAGGGATTGTAATTTGTATTTTCGATATAGTCGGCTATAGAAGGGAAATTTTGAAGTCAAATATTTTATACTCAGTGTGGCATTAAATTATTATTTTTAAAGAAAATTCACTGCATATGAGATAAAATCTTTTTTAGGGATGGGTATTGCCAAAAATTTTGTATTGCAATATATCATGATTTTTTCCCAAATATCATGATATTTTTACAAGCAATTTTTACATTGATTTTAAATGAATATTCATTATTTTTCTTAAAAATATGCTAGAAAACTAAATTTCACATTTTAAAATTTTTCATTTAGTACATATAATCATATTTGAATGCTAATTAAGATTGTGTTCTTTTTACCTTTTTCAACATTTTTTACACTTTCTGTACCGGTAATTGTAATTTTAAAGATTGAACAAATAAAAATTTATGGACCTTAAATGTATAATATAAACTGAAATACCAGTAAAAGTCTTGATTTTTATCACTATTCGTTTCATGCCAAAAAAAAAAAAAAATCATGATATTCCAATATACCATTGAATCACACATCCCTATAAAATGTACATTCATGTAGGTGTTAATTACATCAAGAATTTGATTTATTTCATTTAGGAAGTAAAGAAGAGATAATCATTGATAACTCTTAAAACAAGAATTATAAGAATATTAAAGACTCACATTTTTATGCAAAAATAAAGTTTTTGTGAATAAAATGTGATTTATATGCATTACATGTACCAGGGAATTAAACTTTAAATGAGATTTGAAATTAAAACTTCATAAGAGTAAAGTTTCGTTTTCTTGTAAAATTAACAACATATATATTTTTTAACTCTCTGGAGCAAGTTGGTAGAGAATTTTTCATTTCACTCAAAACTTACTAACCAGGTAATATATTTTATAAGGCATTGAATCCTATCAGTACAAATCAGCTACAATAAAAATCAGGTATGGGGGAAATGTTTATAGTAAAACATAAAATTTCTTTAAAATTTGATTTGCAGAGTGCATACTCATGTGCAGATACAAATGATTTACACCATTTATATTTTTGTTTTTAAAAAATCGGACCCTTTTATTTTATTTTTAATTGCATAAAACTGGTATTAAAATGATATATCATTAATTTTTTTTTTTCAATATCATGCAATTACATATTTAAGTTTCAACTAGAAAATGCAATGTTGAGCTTTTTATTCATATTATTGAGAAAAGAAATTTCAAACAAAATACAGTTGGGTTACTTGTTTTCCTACAAAACCACTTATTTATGATATATTGTGACAGTAACAGCTTGACTTTGGTAGCCTTGACCTTTTTAATACATGTATATGAATCAGTTGACTTGACTAATTACTAATTGTAATTTAAGAGAACTTATAAATTTGATTAAATCCTCAAGTTGATTTTGGTCAACAATTCATTTTTTTTTATAGAAGTTGATAAGTACATTTTTTTGGTATTTTGAAGCTCCCTAAAATAGTTATTGTACTGCATATTTTCTGCATTTATTCCCATCTCAGACTAACACATAGGCAGGGTTCTATCTCAATATCTCTTTACAATCAAAGATGAACTTGAGGTTATCAAAGGCCAAAGTAATTGTATGTCTAGGTAAATAGTAAAAAAAATGGTTGTTTTCATCAACTTGTTGTGCATGTCTGCATTAAAGTGGTTTTCTCTTCAATTATCACACATCCCACTCTAGCATTCCTTCAGTAATACCCTACAGTCTTTGTACCAACTTATCTCACAGGAATCTAGCTTCCCTGATGATAGGACCTTTCCCTTCCCCTCAATGCCTGATTATTTGCAGATTCCTAAGTTGTATATTTTTGTTACTTTTTTTTATGATTTATTTGTTTGTCTTATCACTTCATACACAGGTCCATTACTCTATTTCAAATAATGAATATCTTGACAGAATACATGCATTACAAAAAACAATGGCTCCTATCAAATTTTTTGAGCAAGGTGGATTAGAGGGCACATCTGTTGAGCAGAGTATAACCTGGGTGAAAATTAAGCAGATTTTCTAATCACCTTATTGAACTGGTATTAGTGATATATACAAAGGTTTTCCATTGAAAAAATTAACAATCGAGGAGTGAGGTTTTAGCCCGGGTTTCACCTTGCTGTTGCTAAGCATAGTTTGGAGGAGAGGACTTGTATAGAAAATTTCATTATCACCTGGAGGTTTGAATTTGTTGCAGTGTTTGTGAACTTCAAATTATTTTGGTTGAATAACTTTTGCATTAAATGCAAAATTTAAATTAAGATTTTAATGTTATTTTTCTTGTTTTGCAAAATTTAAATTTTTTTAAAATAATTAATTTATTTAACAGAAGCTGTAAAAGAAAATTTCATCTTTGATCAGGATGAAGAAATCAGAAGTATATAGCAAAGGTATTTTAATATTTTTTAGGCTCAGCTTTTCTGATCAATTTTGTCCGTCGTCCGTCCGTCCGTCTGTCTGTCCGTCCGTCTGTCCGTCTGTCTGTCCGTTGTAAACTTTTCACATTTTCGACTTCTTCTCAAGAACCACTGGGCCAATTTTGACCAAACTTGGTTTGTTAAAATGAAGGGACATATCCCCTCGCAAAGAAATCAAGAAAAGACAAAAATAGGGTTGGGTCATTAAAAAATCTTCTTCTCAAGAACCACTGGGCCAGTAAAGCTGAAACTTATGTGGAAATCCTGGGGTAGTGTAGATTCTAAATTTTGACCCCCGGGGGAAGAGCGGGGCCACAATGGGAAATCAAAGTTTTACATAGAAATATATAGGAAAAATCTTTGAAAATCTTCTTCTCAAGAACCACTGGGCCAGAAAAGCTGAAACTTATATGGAAGCATCCTGGTATAGTGTAGATTCTAAATTGTTTACATCATGACCCCCGGGGGAAGGGCGGGGCCACAATGGGGAATCAAAGTTTTACATAGAAATATATAGGAAAAATTTTTTGAAATAAGGGGAAATCCTGGTATAGTCAAAGTTTTTAGATATATATAGGAAAAATCTTTGAAAATCTTAAAGCTGAAACTTATGTGGAAGCATTCTGGTATAATGTAGATACTAAATTGTTCAAATAATGACCCCCGGGGGAAGGGCGGGGCCACAATGGGGAACCAAAGTTTAACATAGATATATATAGGAAAAATCTTTTGAAACTTATGTGGAAGCATCCTGGTATAGTGTAGATTCTAAATTGTTCAAATAATGACCCCCGGGGGAAGGGCGGGGCCACAATGGGGAATAAAAGTTTTATATAGAATATATAGGAACAATCTTTGAAAATCTTCTTCTCAAGAACCACTGGGCCAGAAAAAGTGAAGCTTATGTGGAAGCATAGTGTAAATTCTAAATAGTAGGAATCATGACCCCCGGGGGAAGGGCAGGGCCATTATAGGGAATCAAAGTTTCACATAGAAATATATAGGAAAAATCTTTGAAAATCTTCTTCTCAGGAACCACTGGGCCAAAAAAGCTGACATATGTGCCCATGGAAGGATCATGGGGAAGTGTAGATTTCAAATTGTCTAAATTGTGATCAGGGTGGGGATGCATTATGTATAACAAGGGGGAAATCTGGTAAAGAACAGAATGGTCAAAGCTTCTCAGGTGAGCGATGTGGCCCATGGGCCTCTTGTTTAAAATCAAATCAGATTGGAAATCATCTTTATTCCGTTGATATTGACATTTTCTGCTCAAGCATTCATTTTAGACATTTAAATTTGTGAAGACATTTAAAAATTCAGATTATTAAGATAGATAATTGGATAAGAAAAAAACTAATGACACCTATGCAATGAACAGGTGGAATAGAATTTCTTTTTATCTGATTGTTTCTGACGTCAAATCGAACTACTCGGAGTTTAAAGGACCTGATATATTGGCTCCGTTAGAAAAGTGTATTGGAGTGATTTTTATGCTTTAGCACCAGACCATACAGTACAGACTGATCAATAGACAGGTTCATTGTGTATTGCTATGGGGAGAACTCTGTAGGCAATATATATATCAGGTAGAACTTGGCTCTCTCAGCATTTCAATGCCCTTGGTAGAAGTGCCAGCTAGGTTAAATTTCTAGTTTCATCATGCTTTTGGAGTTTATGAATTTCAAGTCATTCTCTGGTCTTCAGAAAGGTGAGTTTTTGCTGAATTTTAACATATTTTATGATTTATAATCATTAAATATTCCCTGGCACTTTAGAATTCTTATATTTTTCATCATGACCTTGGAATGTTAGATTCAAGAACATTTTGAAAATGAAAAGCTTTCAGGCAATTTTTGGGATGAGTGCTACAGATAAAGAAATCATTGAAAAGTGGTTGCTATGCTCTCACCTCATTTGATCAGGCGGTTGACATATGTGTCCGAAACAAACAATGTAGCATCTGTTCTTCATTCTCGTGATCAGGAAGGAAGACTGCGTCATTATTATACTGTATTATTCTAAATACTAGCTTACTACTATTCCCTATTCATTTAAAAGATTCATATCTTTCAATTTTTGCACTCAGGACGTACATTCTGTAAATTGTGTAATTTAAGGCTGGGTACAAAATCATAAGATGTCCATTTGAAAAACAATTGCTACAAAGACATATTTTTGCAGAGGTTTTGAAACTGAATTTTTTTTGGCATAATTTGCTGAGAATTTCTTTTTATTCTGTATGAACAGATTAATGAGTTTTACATAGAACTGATTGAATTTGTCTCACAGAAGAATTCTGCTTGCGCTGGAAACCCTATAAATAGCTGCAGCTATTGATATATCCCAGGCACAGTGCTCAGTGTTAGTTGGCTGTCGAGTTCTCCTTTTGTGGTGAAGCTGGCAAATGCGTGTATCTCGCTTGCTTCTAATCAATGAATTTGGCTTCTTTTTAGTATAATTTAGTTGTTTAATATTGAATTAAGGTTTTACCAGGACTGTTTTTCATTTTTTTAATAATGTGAGTATAAATTTATTAATCTGTTTAGATTTCAGGAATTAACGTAGCCTGTCTATTGATTAATATGGTGGTGTATTGCATGCTTTTTTTTCACAGGGGTTACTCCAAATTTTAACATTAAAAAATTGTCTATTTTCCAAGAAGAGTTGAGGCATATCCGAAGGCAATCTGTTTCTTTTCATGCTACTAAGACAAAAGTTCTTAGCTGTCTGATTTTATTTATTTCAGTCCCTTCTTCTGAGGAAATCATGCCTCCGAATCAGAATTTGGAAACGCAAATCAATGGCAACACAGTGAACGGAAAATTGTATCATCGTAATGGATCCCTGAACAATAATCCAGAGGGAAAATTAGCTGTTATAGACAAAAATGGCGAAAAAGATCACTGTAATCTACAGAAAAGGGTGGGGCTGCTGTCAGGTGTATGCCTTATAGTGGGAACAATGATCGGTAAGTACTGATAAATGTACTGTTACTATAGTGATATCATACAGGTACCAAAGTACACGTCATCACATAGGCATAGGATTTATAAATGTTTTGAATTCCAGGATTTCTATTGTGATAAAAAAAAGTATTAGATCACTTTACTTATTGATATTTTATTAAGTATTTATTCATATATATATCAGAAAAAAATACCAGTTTATAAAATATCAATAGCTAGCTGGTATTGTTTTACAAGTGGTTTCATATCAAAATACTGATAATATAAGACATGGAAAGCATTAATGTATAAAAGTTGTGACTTCTTTTGCACTCCAATTTACCATAAAATATTTACATATTTAGCAGTGTACATAATTGTTAAAAATTTACAAACAAATTCCTCTGGAATTTAACATGTATATGCAAGCATTATTGTTTTCAAGCAGTGATGTTAATGCCTTTGTCAAAAAATGTCATTTTATTTTTTATATTTGGTATGTACCAAGCTTGCATGTATATTTGGCAATGGGTCAAAGCTTCAAGTCAGATAAAAAGTAGAGTTTGTCAGTATTTTTTGCAGGTGTTTGTCATTTTGAGCTTTACAATGCAAACAAATCTTGTTAATAATGCATATTTTTAACTGGCCTGAAAAAAAAGGTTGAAGTGATCAACCAAACTCTAAATTACTATAATGCGTCATTGTTAAAAGGGATTTCAAGATTTTTATGTCCTCTTTGAAGGGGAGATAAAAAAGAAGGTAGGTTGGGGGTCAAAATATTTTTTCAAGATCAAAGAAACTTAATTAAAAAAAAATATATGCAAATTTCTTAAAATAGTGAGATTCAAGTGTGTTAAAAGCATGGCACTGTTGCATGTAACTGGCATGGTGTGACCTTGCAGAGAATTTATCATTGTATACTGTAAACCAACTTGTGTTAGTCTACAGAACCTGTCTTCACAAATATATTTTACTGCAGCTGTCATGTGATGACCTTGCAGTGAATTAATCATTGTTTATATCACTTATTTCATTGTAGAACTGAACTTTGTATTACAGGATCAGGAATCTTCATATCTCCTAAGGGTGTGTTGGCAGGAACGGGGTCTGTGGGGCTGAGTCTGATTGTGTGGGTCGGATGTGGAATCATCAGTCTCTTTGGTAAGGTCATCTGAAAGGGTCAAAGGTCAGAGTAGTCTTGGTCATTTAAACCCTTTAATATGAATAGGACTTGTATATTTAAAATTAATATTATAAAGTTTTGATATACTTCCATAGATACCTGGTACATTGTATATGTATAGCATTTGTATATTGTATATATTTATAAGCTATATACTATATCAGTTACCAATGTACACTGCATGCTTTATAGGTAAGTGAATATATACTGGTGTTTGGACATTATTGATTTTTACATTGCTGTCAATAATCAGAAATTATTATGAATAAAAACATCTGGCACAATGACCCAAAAAATTATGTCAAAGATATAAGCCAAAAAAAAAAAAATTGTAATGTTTTGTTTGCATGGGGATGTTTTCTCGACTCCCCACCATAAAATGTTTTAAAACATGTTTTCTTGCACACAGGTCAACTAGAATTCCCAGAGGATTGAACAAGATGAAGGACCCTCCTTAGAGGAAAGATGTAATACCCCCAAGACCTTGGTGTACTGTAGAAGCAATCAGTCTGTTTTTGCTTTAAGTGAAATGAAAACTGATTCAGGGCTGGTATATGTGTATTCAATACAGGGTATATATTTGGCCAATGAATTAAAAAGTCTAGCACTTTTTGTTCTGTATCCTAGGATAATCAAGTAAAAGGGATGGGTCACTAAATATTTTTTTGTTTAGTTGCATGCATGCTTATGTATTTTAACTCTGCAAAACAAAGGGAATGCTTGAAGAAACCAAGGTATCAATCCACCTGAATCAGTTATTGGCCCCCGTCATTATTTCTCTTTCCCTTTTTTTCAGGGAAAGGGGCTGTTCCAAAAATTTTAACAAGAAGGAGGGATAAACATGGCTTTTTGGAATATATTGAGAAGAAGGGGAGATAAAATTTCAGAAATTTACCCTGGCATAATATTCCTGTCTGTTCCACACGAGGGTGCAAGTTTGTGAGCCTTTCCGAGCATAACGACAGTTATTCTCAGTAAAGGGCAATGAGCAAGCTTGCATCCTCCTCCAAGATTGCCCCTTGGTCTGTATATTGAGTCTGGTCTTGGGTCCTGGCTTAGTTTCTCCACTGAATGGTAGAATGATCAGTTACTGAATGCATGAGTCAGAGAAATACCTGGGACACGAGTAACCAGCTCTTAGGTTACTCTAGTCCCAGAAGTCAACACCTGTAGTCATTTGCCAGTTTCAGTTTATTTTATTTTTTTTTAAGTTTATCCAATTAATGCTTAATTTAGTTCAATTGAATATTCTGATCCTTTTTTCTAAACAGCACTATTGCTTTTATTCTTCTGAAAGTTTTTTTTTTATTCTGAAACAAAATTTTTAACTTTATTTTGGCTGATAATTGAAATTGTCTGTCCTGATAATTTATGAAGGACTTCTCATTGTGGTCGATATTTGTAAATCTTTAGATAATGCTGCCTGTAGACCAGAGTAAGAATTATGTGAAATAAATATGCAAGATTCTGGCTTTGAAATGATTTTGATAATTTGTTCCTTGATGGATGCATGTTTGTAAATGTCAAAATTCCTACATTGATTGTGATGTACTGAAATTCAATGTTAAATCAAAAACCGAGAGCTTTTGAAATCTTGAACTTTGTGATAAAATATTGAAATCTTTGCTTTTGAAAGACATAGATAAATTTTATGGATTTTTTTTGTTTATTTATTCTACATTGATTAATCTGGTTTATAGGCCGTTGCTTATGTAATCTGTAATCTTTGCAAAAACTATTGTAGAATGTTTTATTTTCTATGTGCTATAGCCACATACTGTGCTTTGAGTGTTTTTAATAGTTTTAGATGATTAGGAAAATTTTAATACTAGGCAGTGACTATCATAAAGTTACTGGTACTTTTACCAAAAAATATGTTAATACTTTTATAATTTATAGGTATTTTTGTGTGATTTTTTCTTCATAGTATAATGTAGAGAGTCCTAACATTTTATGAAACTGGTACAAGAAAATATGAAACCTTTTCTAAAAAATTGATGTTGAGCAATCTTTGCAATATATAATCTCTAAAATCTTATATATCATACAATTATTTAGCTTGGTTACTTTATTATGCTTGACCATTTTACAAAACAGCCTTAAGCCAACCATTTTTTCATATCTATTTTTTAGTTCTCGCAAAACGTATAAAAGAATAAAATTTGATGTAGGCTAAAAATTAAAGATAAATGTGTTTAAAAAAAATGACATAAATCAATAAGAATTTCTTTGTGTTGTACTATATTACATATTGGTAATTGGAAAGAGTGCAAAGTGGTTATTCCTATAAATAATTACATTAAATCTTTTGTACACAATGACACTATAATAAAAGATATATTTGCTACATTATTATAATCATCAAAAAAGATTTTATGTAATCAAAATTTTATATTGGTGTGTAAAATTAAAACCGGATCCGTAAAAGTGTGGACCTGCCTTAAAAAGTTATTTCAATGCACTTAAGTTGTTCAGAATTTGGACGACTTTATGATTGTGTAGAGATTGATTTTCCTTGATTGTTTGCATGGTAGTTGGAAACCCCACTGATTTCTTTGCTTCTTAATCTATAATTTTCAATAGTGACATAGATGGAAGTGTTTGCTTTTTTACTGAATTATTAACAGCATTTTTGTATTTTATCGATAAATTGCCTGACCAATTTGATTCACCAAATTTATGGCATGCAACATGAATTTGAAACTCTGATGAGTTCGGAAATGTTATCATTTAAAGACGCATCATTCATTGAATGCAATCATTCGTGTCATGCAACTATATTCAATTATTCGTACAAAAAGCTATGAAATTTGAAACAATGAAACTGATCATTCTGTCACCTTAGTGCATCATGGGATAATCACATTCATGGCAAATGGTAAATATTTGATAATAATTCATTGACAAATTGATCTCCTCTGATTTCTGGAATCAATAAAAGGGAGGGTTGATCGATCTTCATAAACTAAAAGAAGGGGTGGGTGGGATGGTGCTGTCATGGGAGATTTGAAAACAATATGCATGACTGTGATTTCCTGATGATACACATCCCTAAGTGCAAGCAGGTGCTGACTTGCCCTCCTGTGTGCATGGAGAGACATTGCAGCACTGTGCTGATGTAGGCGACACAGTTTAGTGCCAGTTAGCCCTCCATTCGTCACATTTGGAGAGACTTTCTGGCACATTTCCAACAGTTTTGCCCAAACTGAGGCTGATGATGTCACAAACATCCAATTGGTCTTTGATATTTTTGCGAACATAAAGTTCATGTCAGAAATGAGACATTTTTTTGGTACATGTCCAAAGTGTCCTCTCCTGCATCATGCTCATTTCCATTTTCCATTCATCAGCTTCAGTCTTTACCATCCATAAGTGTTAGGAGTATAGGTGCCATTTTGCCCTCCCGGACATCTTGGAGAGACAAAAATGTCACCTCAAACTATGTACCCTTTGGTCTTTTTCCTTTTATCCTTTAAAACATCTTTGGGTGTAAGGATAAGTAGGCCAGTTAATCCTCCACAGAAAACTTTCTGGAACAGTTCCTTTAAAAGCTGCAGATGATGAGGAAAGCAGACGCTAAGCCATGAAGCAAATACCAACGTCAAAATATTTATTTGAGAAATATAAAATGTCTTCATGTTCCAGGGAGGGCTGGTTCCAGAAAGGCCTATACGGAGAGACGTCCATGGCACATTAGTTAGAAATTCTATAGAGAGGCCATATAGATCCTCCCGGACATCTTGGAGTGACGCATATGGTTTCACGCGTTAACTCTCCTGTAAAACATCCACCAATTTTAATAAATCTTGTATTGTTAATTAATTGAAAATTTGAGGAATTTATCTTTCAATTTTTTGTCTAAATTCAAAACATTTTCAAACAATAATGGTGAAAACAAGCATTCATTATTTAGGCTATAAACTTGTCTGAAAAAATTCCGACTGGATTCTTGCATATGTCATAAAATTTAAAATAAAAAAAAATTACAAATTACAAAAAGCCGGATTTTGCAGGAAGTGAGTTAACTTGTTAGGGCTAGCTTGTCATTTAGTCCTCCACACAACAATATGCTAGCATATTGGAGAGACTGAGGTGACAAGCTGAATGTTTCGGCAGTAGGTCAGCTTTGATCATGTGCCAGGATGCCCTCCGCACGGACTTTGGTAATGGAACAGCCCTAATACTCCCACTGTGCTAATATCACTCAATCTCAAGCATTCTGTTTCCAATATGCCACATTTTGTTCTGTTTCACAGCCTATTTTGTTTACTCTAATTCACAAAAAAAAGATAATTGAAGCACTTTTTATCATTCCCATTTTAACACAGTCAGATATTGCTTTACTTGGGACTACTTTGGTATACACAATATATAGTAGTTTTGTTTAGAAAAAATATTTTGTTTAGCATTTCATTCTAATGAGCTAATCAAAGACTATCAGTTACATTACATTTACTTTGTCATAAAACTACATACATGTCTATAAAAAAAATTTAAATCTACATTTTTTTTTACCTCAAATATTCAAAATTCATTCTTGCACTCAGTCTAACTAGAGGCTTTGGTTTGATTTTCTAAAACAACTGGTTTAAGAAAAAAAGAACACCTTCGCATATACTCACAGGTGAAAACAGATTTACATACACAAATATGAACGTAAAATCATTTCTACCATGTAATCATTGGATGCATATTTTATCTTTCAGGTGCTCTCTCCTATGCTGAGCTTGGAACTTTAATCACCAAGTCCGGAGCAGAATATGCTTATTTACACGAAGCCTTTGGACCCTTCCATAAGACCCTGGGTGCCATTCCTGCTTTCCTCTTTGCCTGGACATCAGTCCTGATTCTGAAGCCTGCACTGTTTGGGGTGGTCTCTATGAGTTTTGCTCTGTACACCACGGAACCATTCTTTGAGTGTGGACCACCAGATGTGCTCGTTAAAATCGTTGCCATTGTGTGTCTCTGTACGTCATCAAAGCAATACACAGAAAAATCATTTCTTAATAGATAAAATTTTGGTTTATATGCAGTGATGTCAAATAATTTGATCTAATTATTTGTTTTTTTTAATACAGTTTTTGTATCAGCTGTCAATTGCTACAGTGTAAAGCTTGCAACAAAAGTTCAGAATGTTTTCACGGTGGCCAAGTTGCTTGCTATAGCTGTCATCACTGTAGGAGGATTTGTTTACATGGGGAAAGGTAAAATAATTTATTTGCTTGTAAATTTTTGATACTTTACTGAAAAAATTATAAATGGTAAATAGAGGATATTCAATGTTTTGTTGTTGAATATGGAATTTATTTCACGAGTGGGATAGGATTTTTTGATATTTTCACGAGTGCGAAGCACAAGTGAAAATATAAGAAAAATCCTGTCTCAAGAGTGAAATAAATTCCATATTCAAACTACGAAACATTGAATTTTCTGTTTATTACATTTTTTAAATAAAATTCTTTGATTTTTTTCTTTGCCTCTGCCTTTTTGTAATACAGTCATAGCTAGGCTCATGACGTCATGGTTGAGCGCTTGAGACGTCATAGCTAAGTGAGGTGAAAATTCTGTAAACATGAATTTAGCAACATGTTTTTGGTAATTTTGACTGTTTTATTCGCTGTCAGAATGGTTTATTTATTTCCATCAATCTTATATTAGGTGAAGGACGTTTTTTTCAGCAATCTTCGTTACCGGAAGGGAAATCTCGAGTTTTCCCGCACTTCTGATATTCGTCACACTGTGTCAGGATATCATTTTGATATCCTTTCACACTGTAACAGGATATCATTTTTATTCAATGAATAAATTTCAGTATTTCACTGGTAAAAATTTAATGAATAAATTTACGTAATCATAGGTTTCTTTTCCATGTATATTTACTTAAATATTTTACATTTCCAGGTGAAGTAGAAGAAATTAACACTGGCTTTGAGGATACTATTCAATCACCTTCTCTGATAGCCCTAGCATTCTATGATGGACTTTGGGCTTATGATGGCTGGTAAATTTGAAGATTTATCATCAGCCATTTTTGAAAAAAAAAAGATTTTCTTAATTCTTTACAGCAGGTGTTTTATTTACATTTCTCTTTACTTCAGGAACAATTTGAATTACATCACTGAAGAAATAAGAAACCCCACAAGGTAACGTGGAAGATAGATAGTGCAAGAAAGACAACTCTTGTAAACAATTTAGTTAAAGACATTAATACATATACTACATAAAGATGCTGATAATTGTACCCTTTTTCCTGATTCATCGAACAAGTTGGAACAGCTACTAAAAAATCATAAGGGGAATAATAATCTAAACATATTTATGTGGCTATTACACACCTAGTGATTTCAGGAACCTGCTGTTGACCTTTATGATTTATATATAAACTATATTTGATGTGACTATATGACTGTTTTTGATATTAGGAACCTGCCCTTGGCCATTATGATGTGACTATGTAATTGTTTTGTGATTTTAGGAACCTGCCCTTGGCCATTATGATTGGGATTCCTCTGGTGACCTTATGCTACCTCCTGACTAACCTCTCTTACTATACTGTAATGACCCGTGCAGAACTACTCCGCTCTACTGCTGTCGCTGCTGTAAGTGAACAATCTTTTTGATTGCTGATAGATGCATTAATTAAACAAAATTAATGACAGTATTACAAAGTAAATGCTAGCATTTGACTATTTTCATGAGTATAGGTCTTTGAAATTTTGATTGATCTTGTATAAACCTTGAAACAGGGAGACTCAGACGTCAAAAGAAGTGCTAACCAATGTTTAATGCTTTGATTTTGAGAAGATATATGTAAATATGTAAATATGGCCTGTTATTTTGCAGACCTGGGGGGATAGAGTTCTGGGTGGTGCTGCGGTACTTATACCTATATTTGTGGCTATGTCCACGTTTGGTGCTGCCAATGGCTCCTGCTTTACGGGTGGAAGGTAATATTAATTAAAATATGTAATCAAAGATTTGTTTTTAAAAATTGTTTCCCTAAGAATTAAACTTTCATATAGTATGATAAGATTTAATTTTTAGGACTTCATCCTGTTTTTAATTTTTTTTTTCATCCTTGCAGAGTAATAAGATTTTACTAACATTTACTTACTGATATTTTGATTTATTCTTTTTACATGTTGAGTGAGACGATAATTTTGGCTGTTATTTTGTAGACTGACATTTGTAGCCGCCAGGGAGGGCCATCTACCAAAGGTCTTGTCCTATGTCCATATAAAGAAGTTCACTCCCTTACCATCCCTCATGATTTCTGTAAGAACTTTTCTTTATAAATATTGAAAAATAAAATTGATTATTGGACTATGCAAATGAGTATTTTTAGAAAACCAAACATTTATAGTAATTTGTTCATCAAAAAAGCCTTCAAGCATTTTACTTGTAGATAAATTAACATGGTAAAATGAAAATGTTAAAGCTCTATATTTAGTATAGACTTATTGGAGATTTCCCCCTGGTATATATATAGGGATGATTCTGTATAATTGCAGACTTTCCTGGCAGCTGTAATGGTGCTGATGGGAGACATTTTTGCCCTGATTGATTTCTTCAGCTTCACAGCCTGGTTGTTTTATGGTAGTACGATGGCAGCATTACTGGTACTGAGGTACACCAAGAGGGATGCCAAAAGACCTTACAAGGTAGGAGCAAATGTCAAGAACTAAAAGTTATTGTGTAATTCCAGTATTTTGGACCTGAAAATTTTTTTTACACAGTTGTATAAAAAATCACACTTGCATGTAATCATTTCAGTCATTAAATGTTGTTTTGGCTTTTCATAAAAAAAAAAAATTATAAATGATAACTGCATGAAGACGGATATAAAGACATGTGATTTACTACACTGTATACTGAATTATTGCCATAAATCCACTAGTTTCTTAAAAAATATAAATGCCAAGTTTTTGACAAAAATATTGCCATTGTATATGATTTAAATCATAATTTAATTTTAAATTTTTGAACTGTTTAGGATGACAAACTTTTTTTTTTAAGAAACAATGCATGGAAAATATTGGTTTGCTGTATTTAATTCTGCTCACCCCTATGATATGACGAAGTTCACAGTATTGTGATCTTGCAGGTGCCCATTATTTTGCCAATCACAGTTCTCTGTGTGTCCGTGTATCTTGTGATAGCTCCCATTGTCAATGACCCCAGAATCGAGTTCCTGTATGCTTTCATCTTCGTCATTAGTGGTTTGATCTTCTATGTCCCATTTGTGGTGATGAAGAAGTCACTTCCTTACACAGGTGGGCATTTAATTTTTATGAAATCTTTAATTCTAAATATTGGTCTTTTATTGCTTATTAGAAGAGATCTTTCTATACAATGTGTCTTGGCATGAATATGAGTGTATTAGATCTGTTATGTTTTGATACGAATTACTACAGTTTTGCCATCCCTGTGTACCAGCTTATACAAAATTTGCTACAGTGTTAATAGTGATGACAACTTGACTTCTAAGGAAATCAAAGTTTTAATTGAACTGCACAAATTTCAGCAACCTGCAGTGAAATAATGAAAGAAATAGCCTTGTAAATTTTTAAAATTAATTCCAGTAAGAGTTATCTCTCTTTTAAGAGGGTCATTGCGCCTCAAGATTTTTTAAGTAAAAACTTTTAATAATGAACTAATTTGAGAATATTCTACTTTTACAGAGACTGTGACCAAATTTATTCAGCTCATCTTGTGGTGTGCCCCTAGCCGATATGAATCTGAGCTTGTCGGAGACTAATGCACGTCATTAATGCGTATAGTCAAACTGTGATATTGTGTCAATATAAGACATTTATATTAATTTCATGTAAAATTGTTTTTCACTTGCATTAATCATGTTATAAGTTTTCCTTTTATAATTCACAATGCAGCATTAAAAGATAATATATTTATTTTTATGTTCAAAAATCATGTTAGTGAATATATTTATTTTTTCTCATTAAAGGTGAACATGAAATAAAAGTAATTATTTTCCATTGTTGAATATAGCTAAATATTTATTTATATGGATCTTTCATATACTGTTATAATTCTAATGGTTTATTGATAGTACTATAAACACTCTTCATGTAGATGTATATAAACATAGATTGCTATGGCTTACTCCAAACTATAAATGTAGGAATGACATAGATTTATTAGAGTTTCTATGTAGATAGTTTTCATTTTTTGGTAATTTTTACATTCCAGGGAAAAAAACCCCCGAAACTGAACCTGCTATTTAAGATTCGTTCATACCCTCTGATATATGCATACGTCAGATTTATGTTTATTTTTAATTTTTTTTTTTTTTATTTTGTGTCCTCCATTTTTTCCAGTTACTCAAGGTGTTCATGCATTACTAGGTGTGCCAAATATTGCAGCCTTCTGTATTACAGCATTGCAAATAGTTCAAATTCTTGTTGCTCCTGATAGAGGCATAGTTTTAACAAAAGTATGTTGCAGGATGGTGTAAATTTTATATACTATGTATATATGTATAAATCAAGCCTTAATTATTTCTGGCATAAGCACTGAGTGATTTTTTTGTTTGCCTTATTTTTGTTATAATTTTTTTTTTGCTTTGTCCTGATATACCTGTATTTTACAAAAGCAGTGCATTTATGCCTCTCTTTTTTTAACCCATCAAGAAATATGTTAACTGTTATGTTGTTAAAGTTTCCATTGGTTTGGTGACTATTGAGCAATATTGTCCAGTCTCTAGCTTTGTATACTTTCCCCATTTGTTTTACGATTCCAAAACCATGAGATTCTAATAACATACTTTTTATATGATCTGTCATTAGTAATGTACAGTGTCTTTGATTATATTGACATATTGTATATCCATATATTTATGTATATATGTAAGATATATTGTATATTATATTGGGTATAATCCCACAAGAAACAGCATTCAGGGTTTTATAAGTATTAGTAATTTATTTGCCAATATATAAAGTATATAAAATAGCATTAAAATGAAATGTAGATCAATTCCTTGGTAGAATTTATTATTTTTATTGAGTTTTAAATTTTTTTAAATAATGATCAGCTATGACCATGGCAGGGTGTAAAATGTATGGAAAATGGACATAGTTGTTTGCTTTTGTTACAAGGATCCTGGGACAATGGATGACAGATTTCATGGTTTTTTTTATTATAAGCATTATTGTTGGTGAATGATACAGTGTTATGATTGATTGTTGGCTTATATGGTAACATATTTATGCAAAAAAGTGTAAATACATGGATCTCAGTAAATCATAATGCATACCTATGAATTAGTATTTTAATTATTTCAATTTTGACTGAAGAAAGCTCTGTTATGGAAGTTATGCAGTTTAAAGTCATTTATCCTTTGATGTAAAATGGCAAAAAACAAGTAATCTACAATGAATGACTCAATTTGAAGTAAAGTTTTCTAAAAAAAATTATTATTTAAGACCATTAAAAACAATATGTGTATGTTTTTCCCAATTTGTTCATGAGTAAACAACAGTGTATTCTTTTCACTAATGCTTTAATTGTTGTTAAACATTTTCCTTGGGAAAAAAATGGCAAGCACCCTATCTTGTAAATCTTAATTCTTTATTTTTGCACACATTTTGGTTATTAGCTCACCTGAGCCGAAGGTTGTTGTCGTTGTTGTCATCGTCGTTGTCGTCATAAACTTTTCACATTTTCATCTTCTCCTCAAGAACCACTGGGTCATTTTCAACCAAACTTTCTACAAAGTATCCTTGGGTAAAGGGGATTCAAGTTTGTACAAATGAAAGGCCACGCCCTTTTCCAAGGGGAGATAATTATGAATTGGAGAAAAATTAATGGCGTTTTTAAAATATCTTCTCAAGAACCACTGGGCCAGGAAAGATGAAACTCATGTGGAATCATCCTCAGGTAGTGTATATTCAAATTTGTTCAAATCATGACCCCCGGGGGTAGGGTGGGGCCAAAATGGCCGATCAAAGTTTTACATAGGAATATATAGGAAAAATCTTTAAAAATCTTCTTCTCAAGAACCACTGGGCCAGGAAAGTTGAAACTCAAGTGAAATCATCCTCAGGTAGTGTAGATTCAAGTTTGTTCAAATCATGACCCCCGGGGGGTAGGATGGGGCCAAAATGGCCGATCAAAGTTTTACATTGGAGTATATAGGAAAAATCTTTAAAAATCTTCTTCTCAAGAACCACTGGGCCAGGAAAGATGAAACTCATGTGGAATCATCCTCAGGTAGTGTAGATTCAGGTTTGTTCAAATCATGACCCCCGGGGGTAGGGTGGGGCCAAAATGGCTGATTAAATTTTTACATAGGAATATATAGGAAAAATCTTTAAAAATCTTCTTCTCAAGAACCACTGGGCCAGGAAAGATGAAACTCATGTGGAATCATCCTCAGGTAGTGTAGATTCAGGTTTGTTCAAATCATGACCCCCGGGGGTAGGGTGGGGCCAAAATGGCCGATTAAATTTTTACATAGGAATATATAGGAAAAATCTTTAAAAATTTCTTCTCAAGAACCATTGAGACAGGAAAGATGCAAATCATATGAAATTATCCTCAGATAGTGTAGATTCAGGTTTATTCAAATCATGACCCCCGGGGGTAGGGTGGGGCCAAAATGGCTGACCAAAGTTTTACATAGGAATAAATAGGGAAACCTTTTAAAATCTTCTTTTCAAGTACTTCAAAGCCTTGAATAGTATATTTTTTTGGAATCATAATGGTAGTGTAGATTCTAGTTCATTCAAATCATGATAAAATTCAAAATCTCCCCCCCCCCCCCCCCCCCCCCCCCCCCCCGCAATCTCAGTAAATCTTCAGTTCTGATCTGATATGTGCTTTTTCCTAGTCAATATGCTCAGGTGAGCGCTGTGGCCCCTGGGCCTCTTGTTGCCATATACAATCTTTAAAAAAAAAAAGACAGGGACAAGGAATGAATTGCAAGCAGACCGTTCCGCGTAATTATGCGAAAATTAAGTTTCTCGGGGGATAACACTATTGATAAACTTAAGCATTTTCATTTCTATTTATCGCTTCCATAAAACACTATCTGATGGGAGGTTTTATTGTATTACTTAGGAGGGTTATGACGGTACTTCAAACACCTCGATAGGGGTTAGGTGTCATGAAGGAGCAAGCAATCCCTGTCGACCGGTCACACCTGCCGTGCGCTTCTTATCATGATCGGACAACGGGAAAATAAGTAGGACAATTCAGAATCTAAATGATTGCCTAACATATTACATGAAAAGTCAGTCGGCATTCGAATTTTTAAGATAGATATTGTTTGCTAACAAGGCCATTGTATCGATCATAGAGCCCAAAAAATATTGACTTTAAACTAGTCTGTTGATAGTCTTAATTTGTTCCATTTTAAAACGTGTTTAATTGTTAATAACTTCAATGCCTCGTTTTAGAAACTGTTCATACGTAGTGCAAACATTAGCGTGTCGGATCGACCTTATACATGTGAAAACTTAAAGGGTATATTGCAATATGATAAGAGAAAGTGTCACTTATTTCTAAATTTAAAGGATATTTTAAAATTAATTTGCCAATATCACATTTTTCGTGTTTCAAGTTTTTAAAAACAATTAAAAACCGCTTTAAAAAAACAGAAAGAAATATATTTATCATACATTATGAAGATTTACAAAACAGATATTTGGGGAACGTATCGTCTGACCTTAAAACACAAATGCATTGAAAGATGTAGCAAGACTTTTTCTCAAATTTAAAAAAATGAAATATAGAAGTAACAAACAGTAATGAAGCTCAAAAAGGTTATTGTATAATTATTCAATAATCCCAGAAGTGGAATACACGATCATTATAAACTGTTTGCTCTGCTCCTATTTTGTATTGTTTTATGGACTTTTAATCTTGAATACTGTGGGTCATCTCCATATATTTTACATTTGATCTGATAGATCTCTAATTTTTGAGAAGTCTTTGTTTGTCTTGCTCAATAATTCAGAAGTAGTATATACACGATCACTATGTACTTGTCCAAAGTTGATGAAACAAGAATACTCGTTTAAAGTCATTTTTAGTTCACCTGAACCGAAGGTACTAAATGGGTAGACGTTATCTATCTGATGGGATAGAAAATATAGAAATATCAGGAGAGATTGTAGGACTGGGGATTGGTATTTTGGCAGTGTCATGTCATTTACTGGCGATCGCTAAACGTTTTAAACTATGATTTTGACCTGTAAACACCATGGGACCCAATATTTTTTTCCTGGGCTTTTTTAAATAAGTGCTTAGAATAAAGTTTCATATAATGCCTAGGATTTGTTTGAAATTAAATTAGTATAGTACTGACAGGTCAAATTGTAGCTGCAGATCTGTAGCGTGATGGTTTTGTATATTTGTCTGACCATAACGCTACAGATCCCATAATGCAAAAAAGGTGCAATTTACGGCGCAATATTTTTTGCGCATTTTTGGGAAGAATTTCTCCATTTTCAGCATCGGTCAATTAACTACCTTTCACTCCCTAATTCTAGGCACATTTTTTAACTAATCTGTATATTTTATCCATCTCCCAACCCTTTATAAGTCGTCTATACAAGTGATAAACTCGCTGATCAAAATTATTTGTTAGATTGCTGAAAAATCACTTCAAGTGAGTTTATTGCCTGTAGAGACAAGTATAAATGGTTGGGAGGTGGATAAAATATACATATTGGCTACAGAAATTGTCTAGAATTATGGAGTGAAAGGTAGTTGATTGACCAATGCTAGAAAGTGGAGAAATTCTCCCCAAAAGTGCGCAAAAAATATTGCCCCGTAAATTGCACCTTTTTTGCATTACGGGATCTGTAGCGTTATGGTCAAAGTCAAATATATAAAACAATAACGCCACAGATCTGCAGCTAAAATTATAGGGATTGTACAGAGTTCTATGGGAAAAATAATTTATTTAGTACTCCTTTGCCATTAATATATCTTACCGGTAATTGTTCAATGAAAATGAACTTCAGCAATTGTAATTTTTTGTAAATGAATAAAGGGTTTTAACAGGAACTTTTTTTCAGGGCATGGGGGACTACTTCCTGGGGTAGAAGTTTATTTTTCTTTAACTAAGAAAGCTGAAAACAAAAGATCCACCCCTTGAAGTCTTTTGCCATAAATTCTCTTGCTAGCGTTTGGGGGATATGGGTGATTTGCATTAATTACATATTGACTCCATCGCCTTGGAAAAGCGGACAGTTCAAATGACACCAGGGTCAATGACCCTGTGACCTTGACTGTGGTTTATATGCTAAAAATAGCTTTTTCGAACTTTCGCCATAACTTTTGAACCATTAAGATAAAGATAGTGATATTATATTTGGTATGCCTACTTCACTAATTAAGTTCTTTCAAATGACACCAAGGTCAATCATCTTGTGACATTGACTGGGACCTGCTTGATTAAAAATAGTTTTTTCAAACTTTGTTGCCGCCGGGCGCATAGTGTTTCACAAACACATCTTGTTGATTATGTACGTGAGATGAAAGAAGGGGATTTACGTTTGAAGGAGATTCTGGTAAAAAAAGAAAAGAAAAGAAATATCCAAGATTCGAAAGATTTAAAAAACACTGAACAACATTGCATTAACCAAGAAAACTAAGTGCTAAATATTAATGTACATGTAGGACCTACCTTAATTATTCCATGCTTATTTTATTATCCGAAAAATTAGAGCGATACACGTTTGCCTGAATAGATATAGTCATTGAATTATTATCAAAGTGTAACTCACTGTTTTCATAAGGGGGGGGGGGTATGGATAAATTAATTCATTTACTAGTGTGAACCACTCAAGTCACACTGAACTTTTATAATAATATTATAAAAGTTCAGTGTGACCTGAGTGGTTCACACCAGTTACTGTTTAAATTTATTTGTAAACGTATTCAGTTCCAGAGCACTAACTTACGTATTCAGTTCCAGAGCACTAACCTGGTGATATCTGCCGAATAAAATGTATTTTAAATCTGGATTTTTGGATCCGTGCGTAAATCTAAAAATAGATAATTGTTTTGATCCGGGTGCGTCACTGGATACGAGGAAGCGAACGATTAAATATTAAGATATTTTCTTTTAATTGATGGAAAAAAAGAAACATAAAACTATATCTGAATATAGTCAGAGGGTGAGTTGTTCATTTAGATACATTAGAAGACTGTAATTTAGTGAGATACGGGTTCTTTTGTGTTGTTTATGTACTAGTGGTGTCAGTAATTATAGAGTTACCTCCCTTAGATCGACAGTACGGACAGGAATGATTGGCAACATCTGACAGATCCAGTCCTACTGCACGTTTTCTCTTATCTGGACAAAAATGAGTTAAACAGCGTGTGTAGAACGTGCAAGGTATATCGTTTTCTATGATTCGCCTGTCTGCAATTTTCCTGACTGTCACACAACGCCAATATCTTTAAATGACTAAATAAGTGATAAACGTCTTGAGCAATGATACCGTATCGGCCTAGTAAGCTCACCTGAGCCGAAGGCTCAAGTGAGCTTTTCTGATCACATTTTGTCCGTCGCCCGTTTAGCTGTCTCTCCGTCCGTCCGTTAACTTTTTACATTTTTAACTTCTTCTCAAGTTTAAGTTTCAAGGCCAATTTTAACCAAACTTGGTACTTTTTAAAGCATCCTTAAGTAAAGAGGAGTTTGAATTATTAAAATCAAAGGCATAGACCCCTCACAAGGGGAGATACATTGTAATCATGAAAAGACAAACATAGGGTGGGATCATTAAAAAATCTTCTTCTCAAGAACCAAAAAGCTGAAACGTATGTGGAAGCATCTTGGGGTAGTGTAGATTCTAAATTCAAAAATTTTGACCCCCGGGGGGTAGGGCGAGGCCACAATAGGGAATCCAACTGTTACATAGAAATATATAACTGGAAAAAACTTTTAAAGTCTTCTTCTCAAGAACCACTGGGTCAGAAAAGCTGAAACTTATGTGAAAGCATCCTTGGGTAATGTTGATTTTAAATTGTAAAATTTGTGACCCCCGGGCGTAAGGCGGGGCCACAATAGGGAATCCAACTTTTACATAGAAATATATTTGAAAAAAAAAACTTTTAAAATCTTCTCAAGAACCACGGGACCAGCTTATGTGAAAGCATCCTGGTGTAATGTAGATTCTAAATTGTTAAAATTCTGACCCCCCATCGTGGGGGCGGGGGGTAGGACGAGGCCACAATAGGGATTACAAGGGCGGAATCTGGTAAAATACGACATTACCAAATGTACTCAGGTGAGCGATGTGGCCCATGGGCCTCTTGTTTTTAAAGGTAGTAACTAATGAATAACTACAGCATAAAAAAGAAAACTTTAAATTACATTACAACGCGTTTTAGAAAGGCGTTATAACGCCCTTTGATTTTTTTCCCTGCATAGATTGATCCTAATGGGCTTTTGTAGGATACACCAAATGCAGTTAAAAGTTTTCTTTCGGTAGAATTGGCATCGAATAGCCCAGGATGAAAGCTTATGGAAAGAATTAACGTACAGGAATTTAGGATGTCGTTACCCTCGGCATGACGTCAGCTGGAAATCGGAATTGAAGCGGCTGACTTACCATGCCCCCAACCATCTTCATCAAACGTGTGAGGGTCACGTGGATAAAATTTACTACGTCTGCTTTTCTAACAGCGGGAAATTGATAGCTACCTGTGGAGCAGACGGTATTGTGAAGGTGAGCCAAACAGGTCACGAGAGAAAGCTTATACTTCTTTGGCATGACGTGATGAGTATTGTAGTCATGTGACTGTTATGTGAATAATTTGAATCCGATTCTTAGAGAAATATTTCTCAAAAGCAGCATTATTAGTACCTACCCCTAAAATATAGGCGTCGGAAGCAAATTGAAAAGGGGGGGGGGGCTAATTGAAAGGCTAAACCAACCAAAAAAGGTAAACCCCAATTTTCAATGCCTATATTTTGCATATATTTGCAAAAAAGTGGGGGGGGGGAGGGACTAAGCCCCCGGTTCCGACGCCTATGTTAAATGATAAAGCCATGCCCTCCAGTGTTTAACATTCAGTATAACATACTGTAGTAATACACAAATCATTGGTGTCGGGAGAAAATTTTAAAAGTGGAGGGGGGGGGGGCTAATTGACCTATTAGAAAAAAAACTTGACAAGCAAAAAAAATGAATTAATTAATAAAAGGAAATTGTGTCAACTGTCAAAACACGAATATCCTCTTTCGCTGAGGGAGGGTGGGGGTTGAACTTTTTTCAGCACCATTTCCCCCCATACAATACCACTTATCCTTTTTTGACCTACATTGCAACGTGCCTGTTGAAAGTGTGTGTAAAGAGGGGGGGGGTAAACCTTCATCCAGATGTTTAATTCCTGTATTATGTCTTATCTTTGCAAGAAAAAAAAGGGGGGGGGAACTAAGCCCTCCTAGTCTCCCCGGTTCCGACGTCTATGCAAATATTGCATGCAGTTGAGGGGTATTTGAAATTTTCCGACCCCTCAAAAACCATGCATTGTCAACGTAGGCTACAAAATGGTTTTCCAGGGGGTAAAATTTTCGACGTTACACTTAATTTTATCGATATTTTTAAAATGATTGAAAATGATTTATAATGAATTCTTGTTATATACAAAGGTATGGAAATATGGTCACACCACGGCGCTTTTACACTCCCGTCAAGTCGTGGATCCGCCGTCGTATGCCAACTACGTGGAGTTCAATGAAGCTGAAACGCATCTAATCATGAACTGTATGATGAGCGTGAGAGAGGAGGAGGAATTACAAGCCGCACTGGCCGTGCTCGCCATTGAAAAAGGTAATAAAAAGGTAATTCTTGGTTCCCCTATTTGTAGATTTTTACAGAACATATCCTGTATACCTGTACATTTATATGTGGTATGATAGTTAAGATTTGATTTTATCTGTTTAGGGCTTGCAGTGGTGGCGGCGAGGCATTCGTGGTTCCCTTATTTTAGAGGAACTTGGCTCACTAACGACACTTTCCTTTTAGCCGATGTGTCGACGTACTTTTTCTCCAATGATAATGTGAAGTTAGCCAGTTGTACGGTGAGTAGCATTTAATATAGGTACTAACTTACTGATTCTTTTTTAAGCTCAAATTAACATTTAGTCTCTTTCATTCAATCAGTTCTATGAGGAAGAATTAGAAAACCCGGAACTTTATAAGCGTCCTCTTGTGGAAAATCTAACGGATGACAATGTGGAATTACGGAGTCTATTAGAAATGACAAACGATGGGTATCGACCCCATTTAGTGAAGGTCATTGAGTGGTCAAAATGGAACCGAGATTCTCCAGTCGAACGCGTGGAGACTTCCCGTCCAGGGGATAGGGTGGTGATTATCTACCAACAGAGTCTGGAGTGGGATATCGTTCACAGACTGGTGTTTTATAAAGTGGACATAGACTCTGAGACCCCCAGTGTTACAGAACCGATCAAAATAATAATGACCAACAGCGAGTGTGTGGGAGTCAATCTCTCAGCGGATCACAGGTAAGGAACGGCAGAGGACCATTCAGTTTGACGGGGGGGGGGGGGGGGGGGTTGTTCTGACTATGTGATTTTTCATGTTTAATTTATTACAAAATTACTAAATATACTACTTGTTATTCCACAGGTATGCAGTGTACAACTCAAGAAGGTTTTGTATAGACGGCTGGTACGAACAAGATGTCGACACAATTGTGATCAATTTAGCAAACATTGGAGAAAAACCGGAGGTGTTTGAAGGAAACAAATCTTTAGAACAGTCAGCTAAACTATTTTACTTTTTCCCTAGCATTTCTTCTGATTTCCTTGCAAGGTATTTATCATTGTTTATCTTTAAACATTGAATCTTTAAAAATTACACTTTCTTATTTCCGAAGTACGATGTTCTTTTTATTTGTTTCTTTTGTTCATAAAGCGGATCTGAACAAGATGTTGCTTTTCTTTGGGATCGTCATTCGAAACAAGTGATCGCTACATTACCTCACACACTTCCGGATGCGAAAGATGGAGTGGGTGCTGTTGCCTTTCATCCACATGATCCGGAAGTCTTAATTAGCGTAGCAGATGATTGCAGAGTTAGGATTTGGACGTCCAAAAACAGGGAAAGACAATTTAAGCTGCAGAGTGATATACCAAACTGTGAATAATATATTCATATTACATAGTGATATTAATTAATTTAAATGAAAACTTGTAAGCAATTAAGTCAAAAATATCACAAATGTTATGCATTTTTAACACAGGCACTTGTTTCATATACAGGACATCCCCTACTTATTATAAGTAGTTGTACCCCTTATACGAAACAAGTGCTAAAAAAAGAAGTGGTACCCTTAGTGGTAAAAATAAGTAGTGGTACCCCGTATACGATACAAGTCCCTGTGCGCCGTATGCCAAGGGCATATGAGGAGAGTAGCGTATCAGAAACCTTTGGCTAGCGAAGATGATTTTACCGCAATTTTCAGCAAATAAGATGTCATTATAGTAGAGTATTTTATTGCCCCCGTAATCGAAGATTCGAGGGTTTTAATTTTATTCCCTGTCCGCCATTCTGTGTGACCGCAAAGCAAAACCTGTAACCGTGTCCAAAACTTTTGAGTGGGAGGGACTATGGCTACCATATTCACAGATGTACTTCATGTGATATCACCTTTCTTTTGGCATCACATTTGACTACGAGACCTTGGAGTTTGACTCACTTTAACAAGAAATTTCGGGTTCTTAACATAGCCATAACTTTGAATATTTACACCCCGCTGCGAAGGAGAGGGGTACTATACTGTTGTACCCTCATGTGTCCATCCGTCTGTGTGTCTGTCCGTAACAAATTTTTGATGGCAGTTTTCTAAGTGTGTTCTATAACATCTAATGAAAGATCTGAATTTATGTTTGAATTATCAGACGAATACAATAATGTTTTCACAAATTTTGTCAGTTTAAATGAGTACGATTATTTACTTGTCTGTTCTTAGGGGTACCCGCGACCAAGTCTTATTCAAAAAGAAGTTCATGTTAAAATGTTTTTCATTTATAGTTTTTAGTATAGCCACTTACAACGATAATTTGTATGAAACACAAACATGAGGTTGTCCTTTTTATGTTTTCATACAGCGAATTGTATATACATTTTCTTTTTAGAAATTCTCATTGATGTAGTATATATACTAGTATGCTGTATTTGACGTGTTGTAATTCAAATCTCCAAATGGAGAAAATAATGAGTAAATAAATGAATGAATGAATGAACAGTAACTTTGATGTAAAGATTCTCTAATTTGTTTACATCATAAAAATGCCTCTTATAGTTTTAAAACACTTGTCTTTTATTTACTTTAATTGTGTAGGTTAATATTTTAAAAATATCCTTCTATTACAAAAATGGTCTCCATATACTAGTATCTTGTTTCTTTACAATTTTGTGAGAACTTTTTCAATTGAATACTGTATAATTTGGTTTTATAAATTCAAATACAATTAAAAACTGAATTGTAATAAATAATTTTGAAGTTAAAGGTTCTGAACGAACTTTTCTCAAAAAGTGGACAAGTGACATACATTAAAATGAATTTTACAGATCTCACTTTTTTGTATTCTTTAACGACAATATTACTTCATCATAATGAACATTTTTGTACCTGATTGCTTGCTTGTCTTTAAAATATGACATAATATTGACAACATAATGCATCACTGCAAGCAATCAGCGCTCAATAAAAGTAACATTCTTTGTACTTTCATAATTTTGAAGGACGAGAAAAGCTGTCGGAATCCCTGTCTAACTCACGTCATTTATCATACATATTAAACATATTTCAGGCGCTTTTAGATGATTTTTTTTAGCGAAACTGCTTTGCATACCCCAAGATCCTGAAGATAATCACAATTAAAAAAATCTGGAAATGTGACGTATTATTAGGAGAACTCAGCGTTGTTCGTAACTCATGTTTATTGGTTATATCTCATTTTAAAGCTTAGCGTGGGACTTCAGCGAAGGAGACGGAAAATTAAGATGTTCTGTGATAGAGTTCAGATTATCTTATAATTAGATATCGTCTGAGGTTACAGGGGAACAGCAACTGTATATACGGCTCCGGGAAATACCAAGGCTCTCCTGGGAAATATATATGTAAATCCGCGACTTTAGGTGATCTATAATTTTAGCACCGTGACATCATTGGAACCCCTTTCGATCTGTGATTTCTCAAATATCATCTTGTATAATTTTAGAAGTTATTCTCTCGGATGGGTGTTACATATGAAAATGACACACTGGATACTAAACCTGCACCATCACTGGAGTACACGATAGTAGCCGTAGGCCTGCCCCTGCTTATATTCATCATCGGGCTCGCGGGTAATATCTTGGTCATCGTTGTGATTGTTAGAAGGAGGAGTCTCCAAACCCCCACTAATTGTTACCTCCTAAGTCTGTGTTTCGCCGACTGCATCCTCCTGCTCTCCTCAAATCTTCCAACCATTCCCGAGCCCCTACTTCCGGCAGAAGATTGGCCTTATGGATCCTTCATGTGTACATTGTGTGTGTTTCTCGGATATCTGGGGGCAAATGTTTCCTCACTCTCCATTGGTGCCTTTACGGTGGAGAGATACATTGGGATATGTCATTCCTTGAAAGCTCAGACAATCTGCACGGTCAGCCGTGCGCGAAGGATAATTCTAGCGTTATGGACCATTGCCGTGTTGTATTGTTCTCCGTGGTTTGCCTTGGCCAAAGTTGTTCCTACTTATCGGAACAACACCTTAGTCTACAGTTGTACCTACACATTAAAACGATACTACTACGGGATCTACTATGTTTTTGATTTCCTGGTTTTCTATGTTGTGCCTCTTGGTCTATCTTCTGTGCTTTACTTTTTCATGATTAGATTGCTATTAAAGGATGGGGCTCCAAGAACACACGAAGATCGATTCCTTCGACATAGAAGCAGAGGGGTGGTGGCCAGAATGCAGGTAAGGTTGCTTATTCTAAATTTTCAGATACAGACATTAAAGCAAGTACAATCGCTTTGGATACTTATATTCTAAATGCTAATGTATTTTTCTAATCGCTACTGTCCGTTGAAACCCAGAGGGAACAAGACAAATTTAGTTTGATTATACTGAAAGAGGCTGTTAACACTTGTACACTATCACATTGACTGCATTTTGTGAAGAGCAAAATAATTTCCTCAAAAGAGTTGGATAACTGACAAACAATGAGACGCAACATCTAATTCTTTTGAATCACTTGCAAAATATTTTTTACTGAACATGCACTGCAATGCTAAATCGCAGTTCCTGATATCGTTGTACTCGTAGAATAAAAGAATAATGTATGATTAGCTCCACATGAAATGTATGAAATAATCGATTATTTTTGTTCAGAGGTCTACCTTAATTTCTTGAGGAATACAAATGCAAATACAATTTATCATTGAGTCAAATGCTGACTGACGTTTTTCATACCAACTGTTAGTCCATTTTTATACACTGAATTGACGACGGATTTTTCCGTTATTTCCTGATCATGACAAGGGGCACACGGCGGGTGTGACCGGTCGGCAGGGGATGCTCACTCCTCCATGGCACCTGATCCCACCTCTGATGTTTCGGGGGTCCGTGTTTGCTCTGCTCTTATTTTGTATTGTTTTATGGACTTTGAGATTGAATACTGTTCGTTATCTCCATATCCTTCATGTAAGAAAACACAGATTTAATAAACTTAACAAGTCCAATTAATATCTAAATTAATTGAGTATAGCTTGCAAATTACTATATTAATGGAATAAAGCGTGAAAATCGACATTAAATCCTTCCCTGACGAGAAATGAGAAAATTTTATGTAAGATTTCTCTTTATTGATTTCTAATCCATATCTTTTCTTTTGAGGATTCTTTATACAAATCTCTTTCAGTTTCCTTTTGCTATGTTCTCATCTATTTCCTTTTAAAGGATTCTCCAATACAAACTTTTTGAGTTTCCTGTTAAGCTCAGATGAAAAATGCAAATCATAAAAAAGGCCATCGAATAAGATCTCTGCCACTCTTAATACAACTCAGGCTTTGTTCAAAGCTAATTATTATTCGAGGAGTAACCTAAACGTAATGTCTCAACTGCATAAAATCCTTATATAATGGTCACATTTTCAACAAAACTCTATATACTTATTAATAAACCATTATCTATTCTGACATTTGCCCATAAATAAAACCAGAAGTCTCTGTCGAGACTGTAGCTCTACTGGTTTCTACTTACAGAAAAAAGAAGAGAAAAGTAAAAGTGTGGTCTTGAAACTTTACAACAGCAATATATAAAATAATGATCCTTGGTTAAGTCTCTTTTTATGGCAAGATTGCAATAACACTACATTTGTAGGAGTAGCTTTTAATAAAATTTTACAGAATGTTCAATTTTAGTTACCATGGCAACAACATTCATCAAAAAACAATAGACATTTATGTATCTCAGTGTAGCCTACTTGCACATCACATTTTATTGTAATCCGACTAAACAAAAGCATAAAAGCATTGATAGCATCATAAATTTCTATTTTTAGTAACAACGGCAACACTGTTCAGCGAAATCAAAAACCAATACATAGAATTATGAATGTTAGTGTTGTCTTCTACTTGTGTAAAAAATTATATTGAAATCAGATTAAAGCTATAGGAGGAGTGGCTTTTTAAAGTATTTCACAGAAATTTATATTTTTAGAAACCAGACCAACGCCATTCATCAAAATCAAAATCCGATACACAGAGTTACGTGTATGTATCTTGGTGTAGTTTACTGTTGCGCCAAGTTATGATGGAATGAACTGAAGAAGGGGTAGCATTTTCAAAGAATTTCACAGAAATTTCTACTTTTAGTAACCATGGCAACACTGTTCGTCGAAATCAAATACCGATTAAGAGAATTATGTATCTTAATATAGTCTTTTTTTTGTGTGCCAAGTAATATTGAAATCAGACTAAAACTCAAGGAGGAGTAGCATTTTCAAAGAATTTCACAGAAATTTCTACTTTTAGAGACCAAGGCAACACTGTTCACCGAAATCAAAAACTGAAACACGGACTTATATAATGGTATAATAATATGTATCTTAGTGTAGTGCTTGTGTGTAGTAACGCAAGTTATACTGAGATCAGACCAAAACTGTATGAGGAGTAGCAATTTGAAAAATCGTTTACAAACAGGCAGACAGACAGACGGACAGACCGACAGCTAGACAGATATGGGCGTTCGACGGACACCTTACTATTGCATCACGTTTATCATCAAGCTTGGTTGTTAAATTACCATTAACGTCTTTTTCAAGTTAAATATCCAAATATGAAGCAGATATGTCAGGCTATGTATTTCCTTTTATCTCATGCTCACCGGGATATATTGTATCGGCATTAGAATGGAAATAACCATGATTGTCAATTGACAATACATCGTCGATATTTATAAATGTCGAGTTGAAGGCAATAGTACATCAAGTGTTTTCTTTTCACGTATAAGATTTTGGACAAATTTTGCTTTATTTGAATGCAAAAACAGGTCTGCTAATAACATTGTGCAATTGGTACCCATGGGAATTCCAATAAATTTTGAAGACCTGGTCTCTAAAAACAACATTGATATTGTCAATCAGAAACTCAAGCACATTTTTGATGTCAACTCCAGAGTACTTGTGTGCACAATCATATGTACATACATATGTTTCAAAAACTCAAACTTGAACTTCAGAATCAATAATATAATATAATTGTTATCAATAAAAATTAAGTAAATATATCCGTATGAAGTACTCCAGTGATTTATCTCATTTGAACATTTTATATAATTTAAATTTCTGTCGCACCGTACCCAACACGATGTTTATATAACGAAGAGATACATGTATCACTAGAGAAATTATATGAAAGTTAAAAAGAGTCACACCAAATCTCAATAGAGTTTTCAAACAGAGCAAGTAATTACTGGTACATGTAATATCTAATACAGCTTATATTTCTATATTTTTCAATTCCTAAGTCACTGAGTACCCTCTTTTTCTTCTATTTATATCGTACTAAAAATAAATAATATAATTTTTCTCTAACAAGATTACATGATAAGGCAAAGCAAAGCATCACATCAACTGTAACAACCAGGCAAAGCAAAGCATCACATCAACTGTAACAACCGTGGGAAAATTGTTGAAAGGTTGTATAATTAAGGACATTATATAATTTTGCAAACCCAATTCTAAAATTGGTAATATTCAAAAAACATATTTCAAACCCAATTCTAAAATATGTAATTTTCAAAAAAGAAATTTCATATTTTAGAGAGAATTATCTTAATTCTGGTTTCTGACCAGTACAGCTAAAAAAAAACTAACTACGCATTTATAATGTGTCTCATGGACATAATTTTGAATGAATCATATAATGAATTCATGAATTAAGATGAACTAAAGAATTTAGAAATAAGTTTTTGACAAAATTCAAATAATTTTTATCCTACGTCTCAAAACCAGAAATTAAGGGAATACATGAGTAAAGATTAAAAAAAAAACACAGGTGAGGTTAGAAATATACACTTATGATCAAAAAGAGTGTCGAAATTCAAGTCATAACGACATCGGTTATATTACAATTTAAAGATAGTAACCAAAATACACAGGGGTATTAGTAAGTCAGGTTTTGTTAATTAACGTTACAATTGATTACAAAGCATTTTATGGCAGCTTTGACATTACTTTTGGATCAATCCTTGTACACATCTTTCTGAAAGAAGAGAAAAAAAACCGTTTTAAAGAGAAAATTAAAACAATGAAAAAGAAAAAGATAACGAGCAGCGACCAAGGAAAATTCTTTAAATGTTAGTCCAGTGTTAGTTGTTAGTCCATTATTTATACATTGAATTGACGACAGATTTTTCCGTTATTTCCCAATCATGACAAAGAGCACACGGCGGGTGTGACCGGTCAGCAGGAGATACTCACTCCTTGATGGCACCTGGTCCCATCTACGATGTTTTAGAGGTCCATGTTTGCTCTGCTCCTATTTTGTATTGTTTTTTGGACTTTGATATGGAATACTGTTCGTTATCTATATCATCCACTGAAACAACACAAATTGGGAACAAAGAAAACACTATGAAAACCATCTATCCTCTGCATTCAATAATCCAGAGGTGAAAAAAGAATTAGATAGATTACATGATCAGTCCGTGCTGGTTCCTGTTCACAAAGCAGGTAACAACATTGTCTTCGTTTGTAAGACTCATTATATAAATTGTATTTTAGAAGAACTTGGATTTATTTCTACAAGTGGTAATCCAACTTACACTCATAGTTCCCTTTCTAAGGAAGAAATTCTTCAGAAACATATGTTAGTTTTGAAGAACCAAAATGAATTTGAAATATCATATCTGTACTGGATTTCGAAACTTTATAAAAATCCTTAGAAACAATGATACATAGCGGGTTCCAGTAAATGTTCGACCAAGTCTCTTTCTTTACTCCTTACTAAGATATCAACAATCGTGGAGAAACTTCAAGAGAACTGTGCAACGATATACTCAAAAAGTGGTGTAAATCAGATATGGATACTTAAAAATTTCAAGGAACTTTTGGACAATTTGAAATCGCAAGATTTTACCAAAATCAACATCTTACAAATGTACGACTTTTCAACTTTGTACAAAACCATTTCCCATCAGTTTTATGGCCCAGGAGCCAGGTCAAGCGTTTTTTCTTCTTATCTATGTTTTTTAAATTAAATTCTATTGAAAATGAATACAAAATAAATTTGCTAATAATGGGGAACAATTGGTACCTAGGGAAGGTCTTATCTGCAAAAAACACTAAAAATGGATATTGTCAGTCAGAAACTAAAACATCTTTTTAACATCCCCTTTTAGTAGTTGTGTTTATATTTTTAACTAAATGATTTCGCAATTGACCAATGACAAGGTAGGTATAAGTTCCAATTAAA